CACAGACAGCCGGAAAGGCGTACCAAGGACCAATCACAGCTGCTTTTTGTCTGCGCAAATATTACTTGCTTTTACTACTGTTGCTTTTTTTTCTCCAACTATTTTAGTTTATAAAGATAGTTTAATTTGACTTCTCCTGATGATGCTGACAAAGTAAAACATGTATTCATTTGATTTGCCATAATAGTAACGGTAATAATACATTTTCTACATTGCCTGTTATTTCATAATTGCAGTGTAAGACGTGTCGGTTTGGAACATCAGGGGAAACCAGTTTCCCTACATTATGGCAACCCCCCCAGCCCTGCATTGACTCTCTTCTAATGAACATAAATCCTATTCGCTCTAATTTGACCCAAAAAGCGATTTTGCAGATCAACATCTCCATTTTAACAGAAACAAGAATAATAATAAAAGCTTCCTCCTAAAAGGATGAACATACATAAGGACAGGGTACCCAAAGTAATGTGATTGTTAAAGTATTGTTGACATACTACGTTTTAAGCATAATGTAAATATTTTCTTCACAGAGCATGTTATCCTCCAGCTTTCATTTCCGCAGTTTGTTACATTTACCTTTAACTGCTATTAAGCACATTAGCAGATTTCTAAAGGTTGTTTTCTCCTATAGCATTTCTCTGTATTTTATGTTTATTAGGTCAACAGCACTTAACAGTGCAGACGATGCATGGTGGAGGCCTCCAGCTGGCGACGGCGCAGGGCCAGCCTGCCATCCAGATGGACCAGACGCTGACGCTGGAGCTGCCCAGTCAGCCAGGGGAGAAAAAACGCCGCATGGCCTGTACCTGCCCCAACTGTAAAGATGCAGACAAAAGGTACGTCTGTCAGTAGACAGGAAAATACCTGCTAATGTTATAGTCTTAAGAAGATGAATGAAAACAATTTTTCAGATTTTTTAATCCATTTCTGTTGCAAAAAGTTTACTTACTAGGGGATTTCTGAAAGGATTATGTTATTGTTAGAAGTGAAGTAAAAAAGGTTGAAAATAAATGCACCCCCCCACTTCTGTTAACTAATCCGCACCCAGTCTCTTCCAGTTTCATGGATATCTTTTTGTTTTGTTTTGTTTTTAACGAGACAAACTAGTCAGATGAAACCACCTACATTATTCTTACAATAACCATTTGTAAAAATTTGCCAGTCGGCTTCACAAATGTCCCACAGTTGTTGGTTCCAGGCCTGTTTGGGCTCTTTTTATTCGTTATAATGCACAGAAAAACAAGAAAAACTTCTATCTTCCATGAAGTGAGTCCTCATGGGGGAGGAATCAATCCAAATTGAATTTCTTTGGTCTAAATCAGTGTTTCCCAACCTTTTTTGACTTGTGTACCCCTTTGGGCTTTTTTGGGCCATGAGTCTCCCTCTCAGTCAAAAGTATTGACTGGTTATATTTTTATATTTATATCTTTTAAAAACGAAGCGGCGTGTGTATGACGTCATCCGTACCGTCTACCGTTCATTCATCCTGTCCTGTCAGCTGGACTGCTGCTAGTTTTTGCTAGAAATCCTTGAAAATGCTTGCATTTTGATGTTGTGTTTTCAAGGTTTGAAAAGTGCTTATACTTTGGATAAAATGCTTGAAATTGTAACTATTTATTTCGCAACAAATACCTATCTAACTGAATCTTGTGTTTATTAAATGGGGAAATAAAATGTTGGAGAGCCCGAAAATGAAACCTGCTCGCTTATGTGTGACTGCGATCTGCCAGTCTATTTCCATGTGTGACTCCGTCCCCATGAAACCACTACGGCACCATGCTGGGAGGTTGTCGTTTCAATGAACGTTGGCTGGAAGATGAAAAATACAAATTATGGATTAAACGGGGACCCCCACGAGTTGCTTCTTGTAAAGTCTGCAAAAAAGATGTGCAGCTTTTCACAATGGGCGAGTCTGCGCTGTCGAGTCACATGAAGAGTAAGTCATAGACTTTTTAAGTAAGCCAACTGAAGTAGCCTAATACACGTTAACGTTAGCGCCTATTTGTT